AAACAATGAAAACAAATGCCCACGGTCCAAAACCTGCGGAGAAAAAAAGCAAGTAAGTATTCTGAACCTAAATCTTGAAAATGATCTTTTAGATACTTTATTAATTAACCTTGGCGCAATGAATTGAAAAAACTATAGAAAGCATAAAGTTCGTAAAGAAGGAATTTCAGAAAATTAAAACTGAATGTAATCCTGAATGTAATCATTTGAAAGATGCTTTTTATCAAGAAGTTACATGCAAAGATCTTATCATAGAGATCAAAGATCTTAAAGATTGTAATAATACATTTTTCTGAAAATCTGAAACACTTTGCAGAAAAATGTAAGAATATGAATTCTGAAAATGAATCTTTAAAAACTGAGATTCGAATTCTAAAATCAATTTCAGAATCATTTTCGAAAGAAAAGACAAGTTCTAGCTATGATGGTATTTCTAAACAGAATCATGTTTCTAATAAGAAAAATGATGTTTCTAATGTTATGACTTTAGAACATCAGGAATCTGATAGTCTCAATAGAAAGAAAAATCATAGTAAGCTAAATACACTGTTACCCTAACCCTCCAGGAAGCCAAATAATGAGTTGGATCACCTAAAATCTGCTTTGATCTTTTCAGGTGTGCCTAAGGAGTGAGCTGAAAACAAGAAAATGTGGGTACATGGACAAGCGCTGCCTCTAGGCATATGACTGGTGATAGAAAGGAAAATTGGACCAGATTAGACAAAGAAAAAAGTGGGGATGGGGGGGGGGGGGGGGGGGAGGGGGGGGAGGGGGGAAGGGGGGGGGCGGGGAGGAGGGAGGGGGAGGGGCGGGGAGGAGGAAAAGGGGGGGGGGGGGGGGGGGGGGACGGGGGGGAGAGGGGGGGGGGGGGGGGGGGGGGGGGGGGGGAGGGGAGGGCGGGGGGGGGGGGGGGATTCATAGTAAGCTTTTGGAGACAAAGCGAAAGGTAAAATCGTGGTATCTGGTGTGGTTAGGTTCTAATCCTTCAATTAGAAGATGTATGCTTAGTAGAAGGATTACATCATAAACTTGTTAAGTTGAAGTTCAGATTTGTGGATAAAAAAATAGAAGAGTGATCTTTGGAACTCTTCTTATTGCTGAAGTTCAGAACATGTATGATAACAAAACTTTATTTGTTGGAAAAAGGTTGGAGAATACTTATACCTAGTAGATCCTCTCTGTGATATGCATTTTAAAACCTAGACATTATGCCTTAGTTTCATGTTGATGCTTAGTTTCTGTTGATAATTCTAGTTGGTTATGGCATAGAAGACTTGGACATGCAAGCATGCACCTTATTTCTAAACTATCTAAGAAAGACCTGGTTTGAGGTTTGCCAAAACTAAAATTTGAAAAAGATCACATTTTGTGATGCTTGTCAATTGGGCAAACAAACCAAAAATCTTTCAAATTTAAGAGCATGGTTTCTACTTCTAGACCTTTAAAATTACTACACCTTGATTTATTTGGTCCTATTACTCCTTCTAGTCTTGGAGGAAAATCCTATGCATTTGTTATTGTAGATGACTATTATAGATTCACCTGGACACTCTTCCTTAGAAATAAGGATGAGTCATATGACATGTTTGTTCATCTTTGCAAAAGAATACAAAATGAGAAAGGATACAACCATCTTTGCAAATTTAGAAGTGATCATGGAGGAGAATTTGAAAATCAGAAATTCAATGTTGTTTGTTAACGAATCAGGAATCTATTCATAACTTCTCAGCACTAGAAACACCTCAACCAAAATGAGCAGTGGGAACGCAAGAATTAAGAGAACACTGCAACAAATGGGAAGAAACCATGCCTTGAGTTGATTCTAAATTACCAAAGTATTTCTGGGCAGAAGCCGTTAACACTGTATGTTATATTCTAAATAGGGCTTTCGTAAAGATCTAAAACTTAAAAAAGACTCCTATGAGTTATAACAAAGGTTAGGAAAACCAGAATATTGTTACTTTCATATGTTTGGGTTGTAAAATGCTTTATTCTAGATAACAAGAAAAATCATCTTAGCTAAAATTTGATTGCTAAATCCTTATGAAGGAATTTTTCTAGGATATTCTAGTAAATAGTAAAGCATTATAGGGTGTTTAATAAGAAAACTCTAGTTAATACAAGAATCTATTCATGTTGTGTTGTATGAATCTGACTTCTACTTCTAGAAGTTTTAGAAAATGATGATTGTTGTAGATTCTAATCAAGAAAAGCAGAAGAAAAATCATGAACAAACTAGAACAGCCAGAAAACAACTAGAACAGCCAGAAAATGAGCAGAATGTTGATAATCAGGCTGAACCAGAAGATGAACATGAAGATCAAAATGCAACTGAAAGTCAAATGCCAGTGACAGAAAATGAAAATTCTCAATTACCGAAAGAATGGCGATTTCACAGGTATCATCCATAAGAGGACATCATGGACAATCCTTCAGAAAGGATGATGACTAGAGCTCAATATAAAAGATATTTTGGTAATGTTACTTTTGTTTCTCAAATAGAACCTAAAAATTTAGAAGATGCTCAGAATGATGAAAATTGGATTCTTGCTATGCAAGAAAATCAATTTGAAGGATAAACCAAGTTTGGAAACTTGTTTCTAGACCTAAAAACCATTCTGTTATTGGAACAAAATGGGTGCTTAGAAATAAGCTTGATGAACAAGGTAATGTTGAAACAAAGCAAGGTTAGTGGCTCAAGGGTACAACCAAGAGGAAGGCATTGATTTTAATGAAACCTTTGCCCCGGTTGCTAGACTTGAGACCATTAGAATGCGTTGTGCATTTCCATGTTTTAAAAACTTCATGTTATATCAAATGAATGTGAAAAGTGTTTTTCTAAATGTTTTTCTAAATGAAGAAGTGTATGTAGAACAACCACCCGGTTTTGAAGTATATGATAAACCAAATCATGTTTACAAACTTACTAAAGCTAAAAAGCTCTTGATGGTTTTGAAACAAGTTCATAGAGCTTGGTATGGAAAGATTAAGTAAGTTTTTATTAGAAATGTTTTCTAGAGGAAGGTTTGATACAACACAAAAATGTTTATAAAAAAAAGCACATGACATTCTAGTTGTTAAACAAATCTATGTTTGATGACATAATCTCTTTGGTTTCTTACTAATGATCTTTCTTTGTAAGGAAATTTTCTAAGATTATGCAGGGTGAGTTGATGAGCATGATGGGAAGGAGGAAATAACTTCTTCCTTGGGGAACTTCAAATCAAACAATGTGAAAATGGAAATTTCATAAAACCAAGGTAAATATACTAAAGAATATTGAAACGATTCAACAAACTGTGAGAATGGCCAAGGTATTGTTAGTACACCAATGAGGTCCATCGTTAAAATTGATGAAAAGATGAAAAGGTAATGATGTGGACATCAAATGTTTAGAAGTATGATTGCTTCTTTACTATATCTAACTCAGCAGACCTGACATTTCACTAACTGCAAGCAGACCTGACATTCACTTTAGTGTTTGTCTATGTGCTAGATTTCAATCATGTCCCAAAGAATTTCATTTAATTGCTATAAAAAAATTCTAAGATATCTTTGTGAAACTTCTAATATGGGTCTGTGGTATTCTAAAGGTGATACATTTGATCTTGTTGGGTATAGTGACTCTGATTTTGCAGGAAGCAGAATAGCTAGAAAAAAGCACGTCTGGAACTTGCCAGTTTCTAGGTAGTGCCCTTGTATCATGGTTTAGTAAGAAACAGACATCCGTTGCTCTTTCTATTGGAAACTGTGTTGCATAAGTTCTATAGATCAAGCAACAATTGGTAGACTATGGTCTGAAATTAGAAATAGTGCCAATTAAATGTGACAATATAAGCGCCATCAATCTATCTAAGAATCCGGTCCAGCATTCTAGAACCAAGCACATGGAACTCAGACATCACTTCATATGTGATCATATTCAAAAAGGTGATATAGCGATTGAGTTCATTCCTACAAAAAAGCAATTGGCAGATATCTTTACTAAACCTTTGAATGAAAGTCAATTCTTCTTAATTAGAAGAGAACTCGATATGTTAATTCCAAACTCTTAGTTTTAGAATTATGTAAGTATGTTCTAAACTGCTTTCTATTTTAAAAGTGAAAGACTTGCTCTGTGATATTTTTTTGTTATATCTGTTGTGATTTCTGAAAAACGTTTTGTCTAAAAGGGAAATGCATATTGCTCTGATATGGACTTTCTTAATGTCATTATCCGATTCTATTTTAGACAAAATTCAAATAACAGGTCAATTTTTTTTTTTTTTGTGTGTTTATGTCTTCGCTTTATTAAAGTTTTGGCAGTACTATTTTTTTTTAATTCTTTGAGTTGGTTTGAATTTCCCTAAAACTGCTTTTATTTTTATTTTTATTTTTTTTTCTATTTTTTTTGTCTTGTTTTTTATGTGTTTCTTTCTTTCCTAAAGATTATTTCTCAACTCAATCGTTTTTACTTCCTTATTAAAAAAAATTGCTCTCTCTCTTCTCTCTTGCCCTCTTGCAACAAAACCCTAAATCGCTCTCTGCTTCAAAACCCTAACAATGGCCGAATCGAGTTCCACCTCTTCTTCCTCACTCAGACTCTCCTGACGGAACAAGAACTTCAACTTCTCAAAGGTATCAAAGAAGTATGAACAGAAGGAAGTCGAAACAGAAGAAATCCTGTTGAGTAATCGAAGAAAGCTAAAAGCAAAAACAGAAAAATCAAGAAAGCAAGTCGCTAGTTCTCCACGCCAAAGGTAAATCTGTTCTTATCTCCTACCCACTTATGCGTTCTATGTAATAGACGGAAATTCTTTGGAAAGACGAGTTTCAAAATTTCAGGACTCTTGAGTTCAGGGATGGATGGATTTTTTATCCTTAATAGACCGTAGTTTATGAGAAATGTGGTTAAGGAGTTTTATGGTTCTTTTTAAAACTAGCGGTCAGAAATCAATTCTGTAAAACTTGAAGAGAAATTAAAGCGTTGTCCTTATGCTGACTTAAGCAAGATCTGTTATGAGAATGTGGTTAAGGAGTTTTATGGTTCTTTTAAAACTAGCGGGTCAAAATCAATTTCTGTAAAACTTGAAGGAGAAATTAAAGCGTTGTCTTATGCTGACTTAAGCAAGATCTTTAATTTGCCAAACACTGGGCCTAGGGTAACAAAAATCAAAGATATTTCTAGGGTTAGCGGATACCAAAAGGAAGAATTTGTTAAGAAAATTATAAAGAAAGGTTCTGCGGAAAAACAGGGTGTTATTGAGTGTTCAAACTTGACTGACAGTATGGCCTTAAAAAAGCCTTTAGACAGTGGAATGTTGAATTTACTACTTTTATTACTATTCAGTTGGGGTTTGTTCAATCTGCCTATGATCATTGCTTATTCACTAAGACTGTTGATGATACTCTCTTGATTCTCTTGGTGTATGTTGATGATGTTATCATAACTGGTAACAATCTTGATGCTATTTTTCTGGTGAAACGAGCCTTACATTCTCACTTCATTATCAAACAATTGGGTTTTTGCAAAATATTTTCTCGGAATAAAAATAGCTAGATCCAGTTCTGGTACTTAGTCAAAGAAAATTCATTTTGGATCTGGTTAAGGAACTTGGTCTATAAGATGCAAAGCCTGCTTCTTCTCCTTTGCCTAAAGGTCTTAAATTGTCTTTAGAAGATAGTGATTTGTTGACAGAACCAAATCAGTTCAGGAGACTTATTGGTAAACTCTTATACATTACTATGACAAGGCCTGATATTAGCTACTCAGTTCAACATCTTAGTCAGTTCATGGTTGCGCCTAGGCAGCCCCATATACTGGCAGCAATGCAAATTATTAGATATTTGTGTGGATGTCCGTATCAAGGCTTATTTTTTCCTGCCACTAATGATCTTAAACTTCAGGCCTTCTATTATCCTGATTGGGCCTCTTGTTCTTCCACAAGAAGGTCCTTAACAGGTTTTTGTGTTTTACTTGGAGTAGCACTAATTTTCTTGGAAACCAAAGAAGCAAACTACTATCTCACAGTCTTCTGCTGAAGCTGAATATAGAAGCATGGCTTCTACAATTTGTGAGTTGCACTAGATCTCTTACATATTGGTGGATCTTTTTGTTTCTCCAGATCTTCCCATTCCTTGACACTGCAACAATCAGGCTGCCTTCATATTGTAGCTAATCCTGTGTTCCATGAGTGTACAAAGCATCTTGATGTAGACTGTCACTTGGTCCGAGATCACCTTAAACAAGGTTTTATTCATCCACTTCCTGTTTCTTCCCATTTTCAATTAGCGGATGTCTTCACAAAGCCCTTCAATTTTGCTCTACATTCTGATCTTCTTGTCAAGTTAGGGACTGCTTGATCTGCACCCTCCAACTTGAGGGGGGGATGAAAATATATTAGTTATAAGATATTTATTCAATAATAATTCCAGCTCAACATTAGTAATTGTGTAGGTTATAAATACTGAGACTTATATAATTGTAACTGTGACACAGTAATCAATATATTGGCATTATTCAGTCTTACTTTTTCTCTTCCCTATTGCCTTTTCTCTCGTTCTTTTTCAGTATGATTATATATTGATATTCTTTTATTATTATTATTATTATTATTATTCTATAGCCATAAATCTTCTTCCATAACAATATAAGTATGAAGGTATGAATAGTTAGAATTAGATTTGGAATTTTTGATTTTTTTTGAGAATTAATAAAAGTAGATAAGAAAGAGTATCCATGGTGATTGAGACAGTGAAAAAGAAAGAAAGATGAGCTGATGAACAAATGATAGAGGGAAAAACGTTTCTTCCATTTGCTGGGTTTCATGTTTGCGTAAGTGTGTTTCTAGGTTTCATGTTTGCGTCCAACACTAATAGAGATTAGAGATGAATTTGTTGATAGATTTTAATATTGTTAAAATGACATATCTAACCTTAATTGGATAATTGTGTATTTAAATTGATAGGAATACTTAAGTCAACATCAACTAATAATTAAATAATAATTATGCCTTTTTTTTTGTTTGAATATAATTAAACTTTATTGGGTTCTTTTGCCACTGTATACAAATATATTACTTTAAGCACAAAATTAAAATTTAAATTACAACAATAACTTAATAAACATAGAACTTAAATTACAATTAAATATGGGTGATGTAAAATTGTAAACCAACCAACTTAAGAAAAAAGTTGATGGAGAAACTACTCCAGATACATAATTAGCATTCCAAAGTTGCGTATTTGATTATTGATTGTTGTAATTTATAAATCAATATATATCAGAAAATTAATTATTTATCTCCAAACTAAAATTATAATTATTTATTTATTGTCAACACTATTTTTGTACTTCGATTATTTGATATCATGATTATTTTAATATTTGCATTTTTTTTGATTTTGTATTATTTTTAATGTTCAATATTTATTATATTTAACAGGATATATATAGTTAGTCTTTGTGGATTCTTCGAATTCTCGTTCTACTCAAGCAAGTACCGCTAGCAGTGTCGCTTATTAAAAAACTAGGGAGGAAGAATATAACCCTTTGTGAAAATATGTGAGAAAATTTGAGAAGATTGGAGAAGGAGGGGGTAATTGTAACTAGATATGTAATTTTTGTGGTGAAGAAAAGAAATGGGACTTACACTAGGGTAAAAGCTCATCTTTTGAAAATCACTGGAAAAGGGGTTAGTGTTTGTAAAAAGATACGGAGTGACAATGTTTCTGAAATGAAAAAAAAAAATGGAGGATGAGGCTGCAAATAGAATTACTAATTCACAATTTAAATGGGTTCCTTTGCCTACTAGTTTTGTTCCTTCCTTGTTTATAACTGAATCGAGTGTGATAGATACTTTAAAGAGGAGAAGAGTTAATGATTCTCCCACTGGTAAAGCTTTTGACATGCAAACTAGGCTCAATTAGATGCAGAGATTTCTAGAATGTTTTATATTGGAGGTCTGCCATTTAATTTTGCTAAATTTATTATGTAAGTTCTTATTCATTTACTGCTAATCATGCTTTGAGTGATTACGTGCCTCCTAGTTATAATAAATTGAGAGCTAGATTACTTCAGTAAGAAAAGGCAAATGTAAAGAGGTTATTAGAACCTATTAAAAGCACTTGGTCAGAAATTTGGTGTTAGTCTTGCTTGTGATGGATGGAGTGATCCTCAAAGGAGGTCTTTCATTAATTTTATGGTTGTTTTTGAATTTGTCCCTATGTTTGTTAAATCGGTGGATTATTCTAGTGAAGTGAAAGATAAGCATTTTATTGCTAATTTGATGAAGGAGGCAATTAATGAGATTGGAGACCAAAAAGTGGTACAAGTCATTACAAATAATGCACCTAATTGTAAGGCTACTAGAGAAATTATTAAAGGTATATATCCACATATTTACTGGACTCCTTGTGTTGTATATACCCTTAACCTTGCTTTGAAGAACATATGTGCAGCTAAAAATGTGGAAAACAATGAAGACATATTATTTATGCCACTAGATCATTGAAATTTACGGGGATGCTTTGCAAATCAAGAATTTTATGATGAACCATTCCATGAGACTTGTAATATACAATCGATTTAGTACTTTCAAGTTGCTTTCAGTTGTCGACATTCGTTTTGCCTCTATTATTATCATGCTTAAAAGATTTAAACTTATTAGGCGTGCCTTAAAAGCAATGGTTACGAGTAAACAATGGGCACAATACCGAGAAGATGGCTAAGGAAAAGCTAGATTTGTTCGTGAAAAAGTGGTGGATGAGGATTGGTGGGAAAATATTGATTACATTCTTACTTTTACTACTCCCATTTATAACATGATCAAAGTTTGTGATACAAACAAGCCATTGCTTCATCTGGTTTATGAGTTGTCGGATTCTATGATTGGAAATATGAAGAAGGTTATTTATGAGCTTGAAGGAAAGAAATTAGATAAGTTTGAGCTTGAAGGAAAGAAATTAGATAAGTTTTCTGCTTTTTACTATGTAGTTTTTTAGATTCTTGTTGATCGTTGGGCAAAGATTAACACCCCCCCTCTATTGTTTAGTTTATTCATTAAACCCAAAATAAGTTACTAACTTAATATTCACCTTGCTTCATATACTCTTTTTGCTTATTTTTTTTCCTCTTTTTGAAGGTTTTATGGTGATAAATGGCTCCAAGAGGGAGAAGGTAGAGAGCCTCCTCATATGGATGGAGAGATATCAACTGAAAGAATCAAGTGCTTTAGGAGAATTTTTTCTAATGAAGATGACCGTTGTAGAGCAAATGATGAATTTGCTAATTTTTTTTTCTTAAAAGTGGGCCATTTGTGGATCCAAATTCTATTGAGTGTAGGTATAGTACAGACCGTAGGAAGTGGTGGGCATGTTTTAGTTCTAATGTACCCTTACTTCAAAAAATTTGCTCTTAGAATGCTTGGACAACCTTGTTCTTCCTCTTGTTGTGAAAGAAATTGGAGTACTTATTCCTCCATTCATTGATGTAGAAGGAATAAAGTATCTCTAAAACATGCAGAAGACTTAATTTTTATTCATATCAATTTTTGCCTTTTGTCAAAAAATGCCTCTCAATATTATGATGAGAGGAAAATGTGGGACATTGGTGAAGATGAATTTGAGAGTTCTTAAATTTGTCAATCTTTTATGAGGTAAACTGGAATTAGAGTATGTATTTTTTAATGAAGATGCAACTACAAATATGGAGAAAGAAAAAGATAATGAATTATAATAAATGTTATGAATTTCATTATCTTTTTCCATTTTGATATTTGGATATTTTGTTTTCTTTTTTCTTTCTTGAGTATGGAACTTATAAACATTTTTTTCTCTTTTAGATATGATTTATAATGATTTACTTTTAGTTATAGTTAAAAAACTTTATTTGTAGTTGATTGTCCTTTAAAAATTATAAATGTACTCTTTCTAAATTATTTTCTATTTATTTCTATATTTTTAAAATTTTTGAATAAACCCCCATATTTTTTATATTTATGCATTTTCCCACATTTTTTTGTTTTCTATATTTTTGAAAATATCGTTTCTCCATGTCTGTTTCCCCAATTTTCAATTTTTCCGTTTCCGTGTCCATGCATCTTAATTATATATTTTGCAGAGCTCCATCTTAACTATATATTTTGTCATGAAATTTCGTTTGGAAAATATTTTTGGTTCCCCTTCCATTTCACTTCAAGTAATTTTTAAGGTTTTAGCACAAAAATTAAGTAAATAATTAAAGAACCTCATTTTATGAAAAATTACTAATAATTGATTAAAATACCCTTATAGTACCCTTATTAAACATTTCAAATTAGTATCTTTTTTTTTTCGGAGGGATTCAAACTAGTACCATTAATATAAGGGTGACAGTGAAAAAAAAATTACCTTAACAACATCTGTTGAATTGGGACAATAAAATTTTTTTCTATTCTCTTTCAAAATTGAAAAATTGATTACTAAAAGAAGTGTTTCAAAATTTTTAGCAATTTATACTTTATGTTGATATTAATTTGATCAGAAAAAAATATTAGAAATAAAGAATTTATATAGCTATGCCAAATAGTTTGGTACTAAAGTTTAGTAGTTGTTACTATATCACTTAAAAGGGAATGGATGAAATAATTTTTCAAAGTCAATATTTTTTTTAAGAAAAAGCAAGTATGTAGAATTTTCTAAAATATTATGTGTAAATGTGGCTTTTTTGTTTGTTATTTTTTTGTGTAACTTTTGATTTATGGAATCAATTTTGGTTAAAATCCACAACATCTAGGTGTTTGGCAAAAAAAGTAAATTACTTGGTAACTTGCAGATATGTATCAAGTTAAAGTGAAAAAGAAAATACCAAGAGATTACTAGGAAGAGATGCACTCTTATTCAATGAATATTCAAGAGAAATGGTTTCCTCATTTATAGGCATATAGTAACAAAAAAAAAAAAAAGAAAAATTTGGCACCAGATAGATAACATGCCTTGACTCAGTAAACAGTGAGAAAAAATAGGAGAATTATTAGAGACTACACCATTAAGCGGTTCCTCTGTGCTGCAATAAGTCAGAATAATTTGTTCACTTGAAACTAATTCCTGAATGAAGTGATGATGGATATCTATATGTTTAGTCCTCCCATGAAAAGTTGGAGTTTTCGACATTGAAATTGTGGACTTATCGGAAAATATTTAAGTTGCTTCCTTTTGCTCCTGGTTAAGATCCTTCAATAACCTTCAAGCCAAACAACTTGAAATGTTGAGGCAGTTGAGCCATGTATTCTGCTTCTGTTGACGACAAAACTGTTGTTGGTTTTTTTTTTTTCTTTTCTTTTTGAGCTCCAAGACACTATACAAGAACCAAGAACAAAAGCCTAACTAGAAATACTTCTCTTGTCTTCAAGAGAATTTGCCCAATCGTTATTTATAAAGCCTTTCAAATTGAAATTTGAGCTTGCAGTATATCAAAGTCCAAAATACAACTTTCAAGCTTCTATAGGATTTTCCTCTAGTAGGTTCTGAACTATCATTGGCTTATAGCTTTTCATTAACATTCATTGGAGTTATTATGGGGTTGCAATAAAGCATATTAGATCTTCAAAGTAGATCGGCTACATACTTCTTTTGAGATATAAAAATCTCATCTTCTGTGTAATTAATTTCCACACCAAGAAAATAATAAAGCTTTTCCAAATCTGTCATCTCAAAAGTTCTTTATCATATTCTCCTTAAATTCAGAAATAAGAGAAGAAAATGATCCCATGTAAATCATATCATCTACATAGAGATACACTAATAATAAATCATTCTCTTGTTTTTTAAAATAAAGAGTCAATTCATTATCACTTCTAATGAAATCAGTATTTTGTAAGTAAGAATCAATCTTACAGTACCAAGCTTGTGATGCCTATTTTAACCCATAAAGAGCCTTTTTAATTTGTTATCTTACTCTTCTTACCTTTGACAATAAACTCGTCTGGTTGTGCTACATTAACTTCTTCTTTGAGGTCACCATTTAAAAAGGCCGATTTAACATCAAATTGATAAACATGCCATTTTAGTTGAGCAACTAATGCTAAAGAAATTCTTACTGTCTCAAAACACACCGTAGGAGAAATGGTTCTTCTTAAGCAATACCTTGTTGCTGAGAATACCCCTTAAATACAGCTATGCCTTTTATTTTTTATGATCCCATCTACTTGGTACTTTGTTTTTAAAATCCCACTTTAATCTAATCGCTTATTTTCCTACTAGCAACTTCACTAAGACCCATGTATCGTTTCTTTCAACGGACAACATCTCTTTTTTCATTGCATTACACCACACTTCTTTGCTTGGTACCTTTTCATACGATGATGGATCAATATTTGCAAACATCACAATTTGAATTACATCTCCTTCATCATTTGTCACCATTTGGGATCACCTCAAAATTTCTTAAATAAGAAGTTGGTTGTGTTTGTCGTCTTGGCATGGTAGTTGGTTGGGAAAAATAAGAACTATTAAATGTTGCATGAGAAGTCAAGGGCACTTTTCTTGTTGTTGAATGAGAGGAATCTTCATCATTTATAGGAATTTCAGTAACTGGTGTTTCTTGACACTCGTTCCAACTCCAACTTGCAAGTTCATCAAATACAACATTACTGCTAATAATTATTTTTCCATTAATAGGATTGTACAACCTATAAGCTTTGGATTAAGACGAATAAGCAACAAAATTACAATGTTCTAATTTGCCGTCCAGTTTTTGATGATTATGTTTGTTAATTAAAGCATAGTCAACACACCCAAAGATTTTCAAGTGGCTAACATCAGGCTTCATACCTGCCCATATTTCATATGTGGTCTTGTTCCAAACTGCTTTTGTGGAAGAGATATATAACAAATATATTGTCTTAGCTACTATTAGTGCCAATAGATTATTTGGAAGATTTTAGCTTGTAAGAAACTTTTGGCCATTTCAATAATAGTGCGATTTTTGTGCTTGGCTATGTCGTTTTGCTCTTATGTGTTTGAGGCTGTCAACTCCCTATGAATGCCATTATCTTTACAAAATGCTTTAAATTCACAAGAAAAATTTTGCCACTTTGCTTCTCAACCAATGTCTTGAACTTATGAAAATTTTCAAAAGTTTTCGCCTTGTTTTTCTTAAAATACACCCAGCTGAAATGACTAAAATCACCAGTCAATAACAAAAAATATCAACTTCAACTGGTTGATTTTGTTTGCATGGGTCCACATAGGTTGGCATGTATGAGTTCAAGATATTTTGATGCCTTTCAAGACTTCCCAATAGAAAATGACATTCTACTTTGCTTCCCATAGATATACCCTTCACACAATCAAATTGAATCAATCCTAGGTAGCCAATACAATTCACAGCCATGTATTCAAAGCCTGTTTGATTCTTGATTGGGCTAGTGAGGAAAAATATAACAAAAGAGAGAGGGAGAGAAACACGCGAGGGAGTGAAACACAATAGGAAAATAGATCATGGCGGTGAATGGTGTTTTCTCTTCCTGGCAGCCACTCGTACCCATCTTCAATGGCTAGACATATGAGTTTTGGAGTATCAAAATGAAGACACTCGTCAAATCCCAAGCTGTATAGGAGCTAATTAGAAATGGTTATGTAAATTTTGATTCTGATGAAATTAGGTTGCAAGAAAACATGAAGAAGGACTCCAAGGCCTTGTTTATTCAACAAGTTGTCCATGAAATAGTTTTCTCAAGAGCTGCAGGAGCAACCACATCCAAAGAGGCATGAGAGATACTGCAGAAAAAATATCAAGGCTCAAAAAGGACCATCACAGTTAAACTTCAATCATTATGTTGTGAGTTTGAGAATTTAGCAATGAACAATAATGAAACTATACAAGATTACTTATTTAGAGTAGCCATAGTGGTGAATCAGTTGAAATCTTATGGTGAGCAATGCACTGATCAAGTTGTGGTTGAAAAATTTTTAAGGAGTTTATCTCCTAGATTTGATCATGTAGTTATTACCATCAAAGAGTCCAAAGACCTGTCTACATTCTCTTTTGATGATCTAAAAGGTTCTTTGCAATTTCATTAAGCTAGGATGAACAAATCCTTTGAGAAAGGAGAAGAAAAAGCATTTCATGTCAAAACATTCTCATCAACAGATGAATCAAAGCAATTGACAGTGGCAAAGAATTTAACAGAGGTGGACATGGAGGTAGAGCCATAACAGAGGCAGAGGCAGAAATAAAGGAAGACCCCATGAGCAAAATTTTTATTGGCAAAAAAATGATGAACAAAAGCACTACAAAAATAACATTCAGTGTAGTTATTGCAAAAAATGGGGCCATATGAAAGCAGATTGCTGGAAACTCCAAAAAAGGCAAGTTACATAAAAGGAAAGATAGAAGATAAATTATTCATGGCTTAAGAGTAAGAGGTGAATGTGCTAAGGGAAATATGGTTCATCCATAACAGTAGTTCAAACCACATGTCAGGAGAAAAATCAGCATTTAAAGAACTTGATGAAACCTTCAAGAAGGAAGTGAAGCTTGGAAATGACTCCAAAATCAAAGTTGAAGGAAAGAGTTGTAATGTTGTGCGAACCAGTAATGGTAATGTAAAACTTCTACATGATGATGTTTACTTTGCTTTGATACCACATATGTTGGGCAAAAGAAGTAAATTACTTGATAACTAATAGATACATATCAAGTATAAAGTG